AAAAGTAAAAAGTTGACACGAACGACGACGGACAATCACTCATATGATGAGCTTCGCTTGACTAAGTTGACAGCGGAGCTAAAAATTAGGTGGGATTTAAAATTTGGGAATGGCGACTAAAGTTGATGCTCAAAAAGTTGAACATTATACCATTTGCATTTTCTCAGTCATTGCACGTTTTTCATCCTGTAAATGTTGTAACATTTGCTGGCTTTCACTACCAGTACTAGACAGTTGCTGAACCATCAGCTCTGACATGTTGACTTTCTCTTGCAATACCCGCACAGCATCCTCAAGTCTATTTGATTCAGAAATCTAGAATAATAAATAATGCAGGCATACAACCAGTCAAATTTACAGTCAATCTACAACACATCAAAGAAGTAATTCATCAAACTATTCTGTAAAAATCGCATGAGCTCCAAAAAAGTCGTACTAAACAAGTTGGACTGATAGAACAAATATTTATGATCTAGTATGTACATTTGTACATGTACATCTCAACCAAGTCAGACTTACTTTTGCTTGAAGTTGACTTGATAGATCAGAATATTCATAACCATTATTTAACATGTCATGAATATTCATAACCATTATTTTAACATGTCATGAATATTCATAACCATTATTTAACATGTCATGAATATTCATAACCATTATTTAACAGGTCATGAATATTCATAACCATTATTTAACAGGTCATGAATATTCAGCATTTCTCATCAGCTCATGAATATTCATCATCAATATTCATGATCATTATTTAACAGGTCATGAATATTCATAACCATTATTTAACAGGTCATAAATATTCATTTCTCATCAGCTCATGAATATTCATCATGAATATTCATGATCATTATTTAACAGGTCATGAATATTCATAACCATTATTTAACTTGTCATGAATATTCATAACCATTATTTAACATGTCATGAATATTCATAACCATTATTTAACATGTCATGAATATTCATAACCATTATTTAACATGTCATGAATATTCATAAACATTATTTAACATGTCATGAATATTCATAACCATTATTTAACATGTCATGAATATTCATAACCATTATTTAACAGGTCATGAATATTCATCATTTCTCATCAGCTCATGAATATTCATCATCAATATTCATGATCATTATTTAACAGGTCATGAATATTCATAATCAATATTTATTAGATCAATAATACATGTATTCATGAGATCAAGATGATTCACTTCCACCACTTTGGACAACTCACATAAATTTTCGAATAACAAATATTTATGATCTAGTACGTACAAGTACATCTCAACCAAGTCAGACTTACTTTTGCTTGAAGTTGACTTGATAGTTCAGAACTCTGTTGTGCTAA